GTTACTTAACCAAAACCCCTCCGGAACACAACCCGAACGCACTCGCTTTGACTCCAGGGCCAGGGTTTGGCTTTCCTTTCCAACCAGCAGTTAAGGTCCACGCCGTCTTTCTAAAGGAGTAAAGAAAACCTGTGCACACTCACACAAAAAAATCCGAATTCTAAAAATTAACACACCCACAACTCCATTTACTTCCATCTCATAAGCTCCTCACGCCTAGGCTCTCCCTTCCAAGGCTCTCTCTTCCAAGATTTCTGCACAGCTGGGGAGAAAAAAAAAAATCAACCATCTTTCTGCAAGTTTCTTCCAATTTTCTACACACACCCCCACCCACCCCTCTCTCACCACTGAGGCTAAACTGCAGCTCCCCTGGTAGAAGCTCCCTACCCCAAAAATGACCACCAGTTTTGCACTTTGTTCCTATGACAGCTAAAACTATGTGAGGATGAGGAAATTCAGTTAACGTTACCTCATGTTTCATGAGAAGTTTGAATGAAATTCTAGGAATATAGTCCTTTCACTTCTACTCCTCTACAGCCTTTGAAAAAAAAAAATCAGGACCTGCTTTATTACTGAAGTGGCACAGAACTATGCAGTCTTAAAGCCCACAGAGAAAAGCATTAAAGTTTAAAGAAAGAGATCAACAGAATCATCTTCAGTGTCACCATCCCAGGCCCTGACAATTTGAGCAATGAAACCACATCAGCATCACTGACAGACATTAAGGAAAAAAAACAAAACCAAACCCAAATGATCAGTATTTGTTATGCAGCAACATTTCATCACGTTTGAACAAAGTACAAAGCTCTAAAATAAGCACAAATTAAGGTCTTGGTAAAGAAGTGGAAATACTCTTTACGTAGCTTGCGGGACACTGTGATTGCCTGTGTAAGTTCCTCAAGACGGAAGTTTGCCAGCCCCAGCCTTTTTATGGATAGTTCTTTCAGGTCCAGTATGCATTTCCCTCCTCTCCAGCCAGCGCTACTGGGTAAAGTTGTTGAGTAAGTTTAAACTACCAAGCACTCACAGCGGTCACTCTGGCTTCACAGACCTTGCACAGACAGCTGCGAGTAAAGCCAGTGGAGAGCGGAACAGGCAGAGTCACCGAATGGCTGAAATCCCTTTTTGGGGGCAGGAATCATGATGAAACATATTTATTACCTTATATTATCTTGTTACTCAGATAAGCAGCACCTTTGAAGTAAACAAGGGCTGTGAAGTGCGAAGTAACTCCTTTCCAGCTTGCATCATCCTGCCTACTCTAGCGCTGCAATCTGAAGGCAGAGCACATCGCCCCCACACAAAGATGCGTGGGCATTAAGGTAGATAACTTGGAAACCTGTAGCACCAGAGCTTTCCTAACACACATTAACACATTAGCATCCTAGATACTTTGGCAGCTGGCTTGCATCTGGGGGATTGCAGGTCCACAGCCAAATTAGCAATTCTGAACTGCTTCCTTGCAATAGCAAAAGCTGCTAAAAAAAGCCTCATGCTAGAAAACAGGAAACAAGCAGCAGAAACATAATTATTCACACCGTATGATTGAAGTTAAGCAATTTTGCATCATCCACTACCATTACAATCTCACACGCAATGGTATTTTTTCCTTCTGCCATAGCAATAGTAAGAAGGCAGCAAAGTATGTCTGAGATAGAAGCAGCTTTTTTCTGAAGTACCACATGATAATTTCTCTATCACTTAAGTCAATTCAAAGGCAACAGGGAGCAACTGGAAAGCCAATGCTGCCAGTCAAGGTCTGTAAACCAAAGAGTAGCACAAGGAAGAGCCTGGAGCTCACAAGTTGACAGGGGTAAAAGGATCCCTGTGACCACTATTTTGCACCCAAGAATTCTACGGTTTGTATTTATATCACGCTTGTTTGTTAAACCAACAGCAGCATTGCTAAACATGTTAACTATGGTCAGGAAGCCAATGCAGAGGTATATAAGGACATACATGGGTTACAAAGTATTTTTCAGAGTACTCACAATACTGATAGATTATGCAAAATCACAGAATCACAGAATCATTATGGCTGGAAAGGACCTCCAGGGTCATCAAGTTCAACCTTTTTCCCAGCATTTCTCTAACCACTACACCATATCCTCAAGTGCCACATCTATTCGTTCTTTAAACACCTCTAGGGATGGCGACTCCACCACCTCCCTGGGCAGTCTGTTCCAGTACCTAACTACCCTCTCAGTGAAGAATTTCTTCCTAACATCTAATCTAAACCTCCCCTGGCGCAACTTGAGGCCATTCCCCCTCGTCCTATCATTACTAATTTGAGAGAAGAGACCAACACCAGCCTCACTACAACCTCCTTTTAGGTAGTTGTAGAGGGCAATAAAGTCTCCTCTCAGCCTCCTCTTCTCTAGGCTAAACAAACCCAGTTCCCTCAGCCGCTCTTCATAGGGCATGTTTTCCAGCCCTTTCACCAGCTTTGTTTTGCTCTTTTAGTACACCTCTTCTATCAGCACTGCTGATCTCACCTGTCTCTTCACAGCAAGCAGCATTATGGATGGAATATGCTTTGATCTTCTGTCTGTTTCTGGTGTGACCGTCTCTGCCTGAACACATGTGAAGCTGTTGCACATGCTGGCATTAAGACTTGCTAATAGATAAAAAGACTTCCTCTAAATGTAGGGTATCTGCCATGTTCTGTCTTCCTGCAAGGTAAAGAATGAATTCAAATCACCTTTCCTGTATTCAAAGTTGCTAAAGTGGGTGCTGCATGGGTATGTTACAGACCCATTAGTACTGGGACACACCCTACACTGCCTTAGTCCTCATCTTTTTTTGTTTCATCTCATGCTATGGATTTGCTGCAATTCAGCATCTAGTTTCACCTACAGCCATGTGCTACATAACTGTGATTTGGGTTATGCTATAGAACAGTTCCTACAATAACGATACACTAAGAATAAGCAAGTGTTTTTCTAGGATTTTCATTTCACTTCCATCATCACCTGTTCCATATTTCACGCTGTTCAATTCCATACCTGAATTGCTCAGAAACCCATAAAACAAAGATCTGATCTGACTGATTTTCATCAGGCACTTTTCTTTTCTGAAAGTAAAAAAAAAAAATAAAAATGCACCTCTCTAACATCAATCCACCCTTCGGTGCGTGGTTCATACTTACACTTTCTCCCATTGGCTTTCCTCTGCCTCCAACTCTCTACTTTTTGGTAACGCTTCATATCTCTCTCTTATTTCTCACTTATTCTCCTCAGTAACTATGTTTTTACTTTTCCTTGCTCAGATCTCCATAAGGTTCTGGAAGTCTGGCTTCTTCAGCTCATTCCAGCTCTGTGATCCGGTTAAAACTCTCAGAACATCTCCCTCAAAATCTAACCAAATGTCAGGATCTCATATTTCACTGTTTCAACCTTGTGTAATCTATGAACAAATTGAATAGGAATAGAGTAACAAATTTTTAACCAAATCAGGGCTAGCAGCTTAAAAGTAACTTTCTTAGTCTAGTCTGCTAACAGCAAAGAGCTACCACCAACTTCTTCCCATAGTGCAGAAAACAAATGCAAACCTAAATAACATAAATGACAGCAAGAAGCAACTAAAAGCTGTTAGTAGGTGGATACTAGTAGGTTGTAACTGCACAGGCTACAGATACACTAACCCCGTGATAGAAAGAAAAGAGGACTTTTGGGAAGAGTGGTAGGGAGAATCCACAGGTCAAGTAGACGAAATCTCTTCACCACCTTCCACAAATAACTCTTATGACATCCAAGACAGCCACTCTGACCTTCCTTTAAAAGTGTAAGACTTCGTAAGAGTTCTTAAATATTAGTCAAGTCAGATCCATCCAAGCTAAAAGGGTCTAAGCATTCTATGTTTATGTCGTAAAAAGAATCTAAACTGAGAGCAGCTCTCCATAATAACATGGGAGTAAAACATAATTAAATAGGATTTATTAACCATCGCTGCCTATACAGCAAATCACAGATGCTTCTAAGACTTATATTTATACCTCTCCTAACAGATTTGTAAATGAGAACTATTTTGGAACTCAAAAAACATTCTATTTAAGCTGTTTAAATTTAAAACATTGTTAAAATTTATTTTTCCAATTAAGAGCCAACTTTCAATAAGCCTAGAAATCCTGATAGATGTTTCAGAGAATAAACCCAAAGAAAAACTGAAGTATTAGAACTTCACAGCATAGCTTCAGCAGTTAGACATGAGCAAGTGAAAAAGAAGACCCCTATTTCTCACTTGTTCACCTGTTCAAGAGCTTTGCCTTGTACTTGGAAAGTTGGAGAGGCTTTCTTTTCACCGTGGTATAACAGAACCTTTACAACCATTTTTAAGTTAGATAGCACACAACAAGTTCAGAATGAGGAACAAAGTTTAACATAATTTCTTGACTGCAATGAACACAACCAAGAACCTGACAGTAGCCCCACGCTATTATCTCACATAAAATTTTCCTTTTCTCAGTTTTAATTAGGTTAAGAATACAGACATCCTGCTGTTGAGATCACACCTATAAATGTGTATATGCTGCTACAAACACCACTTTAGTCAACATTAGTGATGCCACCATAACTTTATTCCACTCTCAATCATATCTTCACCCTAAATGATGCAGCACTGCTTAGTTGTTTGCATTCAAATATGCATATAAACATCCAAAAGAGTTACTGTAACAGTTTTTATTAAAAACCCTAATGTACATGTTTTCCCCATTACATCTATATTTTTCTTAAAAAGTACTGTATGTATCAAACATTTAAGGTTTATTCCATCACTGGCAATTGTCTTTGAAGAGCTGTTAAACATCTCTGACTTTAATGAACCCCAGTACAGCCTCAAGAAAAAGCTTTTAGCTTTCTAAACGTAAAAGCAGACCCTTAGTATTTTATGGCATGAATGCAACATGCCATTAACAACTAACCCTTGTGTTTACAGCATTCTTTCAGGAATGATATAAACTCCACCTCCTGAGTGGTAAATCATAACCTGCATAAAACGAACACAAGATACATTATTCAGATGAATAGATTGCATTTAGAAAGGTCTGTCAACATTCACATTTTTAACAGCTCTTTAAAGAGGCAATGGTGCAGATTAAGTACAAGCTTTTTGCCTCAGTATAATACACATTTGAAATTAAAATGAAACATGGAAGACCAATATCTTTACATTTTATTCTTCAGAAAAAGAAGAATCTTAAAGAAAGCATTTAGTCCACTTGTGCTTCAATGCATGAGAAAGCCAAAAGAAAAAAAAAATACACGCTTTTGTACATCATGATCAGAAAGATAACATTATAAATTTTCAGAAATTGCACTGTATTTAAAACTCTCTAGAATCTGCTCCACTTCTACGTATGGCTACTGAGGCTACCTGAAACAGTTCTCTTCCGCTTCAATTGCCAACCTGTGGAGGCCCTTCAGGGATGAGTGATGTGAAGAAGGTTGTGATAAAGGACCAAGCAGAAGCCATGAATCCAGGCTGCTGCTCTGTATTGGCATCTTCTCCTGCATCTTCTCCACTGTCTTCATCAATCCCATCATCCATAAGTCGTTCCTTTAAAAACAGAAATTGAAGCAATTCAACTGCTTCTTTCTGTGTCTGACATAAGGTAACCAGCAGTATCTTCCTGCCCTAAGTAACTTCCCTCAGAGCAACCTCCTGAAGAATAACTAGCATGAAGAAAGTCTGTGATTGAAGTAGAGACAATCGGTAACTGTCAGACTGGGAAAAAGACAGAATTTAAGCAGCAGGTGCAACACCAAGGATGGCATTGAAAGCTTTCTGGTTAAACTAACTACATTTCACAGAAGATGACTTTCTGTCCAGGCGTTACAGCATGCTTTACAATCTAGTAACGCAAGAGTCTCAAAAAGACATGTCTGCTCCTACTCACCATCTCTTCAAGATCAGGATTATTTGCATGTTGCCCATCATGGTTCACCTCTACGTTATTGGCCACCTGTTGCTGGCCTCCCTCTTGCCTAAAGGGGAACCATCCAGCTTGATGCCTACAGAAGAGAACAGAACAGCTGAAAACGTCTCTTTTGAAAGCAACAAAAAGATTTTTCTGCTACAGTTAACTACTGCAGTAAATTCTTCAAGTACTTTCAAATGAAGGACACTACCTGTATTTTCCTGCAAGTCTAACTTCTAGATCGAATGGCTAGTCTTTGATGTCTGGGTTAAGAACTGTCTTGCTAGGAGCTGTACTTTAAGTTTCAAGAGCGCTGTTCACAGCCCTCTGTTCTAAAAGATGAATACTTTACCATGAATAGGTGATTAAATATGTAGAATCCTTTTTTGGGGTCTCCTCCCCATTTTTAAATACTTAAGTAATATTAATTTTCAAATGCAAGCCTTAATTTGCCCAGTACAAAGTTGATTTTCTGTGGAAAAAAGAATTTACACTTCAGCTAAGTCTTGAACCACATTATCACTGTACATTTTAAATAAGCCTCTCCTATGTTTTCAAGCATCTATATTCTGCTTTCAGCTATCACATCCTGTATGAGAAACAGAAAGTCTTTGTGAAGACCGAGACTATGAGGTAAGGAAACTCCCAATGAATGTCATCAAAATGTCAGGCATTACTGCAGTTTTCCACTTCTGTTTACAAGGTATTTTCACATACAAAAGGAAATGATGACAACAGTACTGAATAGAGAGCGTGCTTCGGCATTTACAATGTATTGTAAAAAAAATTTTAAGTCCCTGCAATTCTACCAGATCTAGTACCCACTGTGATAGCAGCATTACCTTAACTTTAACACAATTTCCTGCACAAATCCCACACACTGTTTCTGAAATATAAGCTTAGCTCTACAATTTTCCTTTCATATCCAAGCACAGTTTTAAGTTTAAGCAAGCATACACTTGACCTGCATGAACTTCCCTCTGTTTGCTCCCCAAAGTTTTCTAAGTTTTCATCCCAAAAATCTGCATTTTCATAATATGGATCTGTTAGCATCACCAACATGTAAGAGCACTGTGTGACAAGTATAAGTAGTATCAAACTGACCGTAAAAGTATTCTGAGAATTATTTATTTTTTCAGATCAGCTCCTCTACTTGTATGAATTTTTATTTATTTTACTACACACACCCCATAGCATAACAGAGCAGTGCCTAAACTTTTCAGTTGGATAATTTTACTGTTTAAATGGATTATATACTAGCACCATACCCCACATATCAGATCTGGAGCTGTACTCAACTCTTGTACTCACAAATAAACCAGCAGCATGGCTCCCATTACCATGACAAATCGACTGAAGGAAGAATAAAAGTATACAATGCTCAGAAGAATTGCTGCTCTAGAGAAAGTGTACATCCAGTCCAGCCAGTCCCGGTTGAAATCCTCCTCATTCACCACGGGGCCCCCCTGTGCATTCATCTGGACATTCGGGTTGACAGGCCTGTTCTCCTGGATGGCTACATTGGGCGCTGCTGCGGGCTCATTTGCAGGAGCACGCTCTGAATTTGCAGCCTGGGCAGCTGCAGATCTTGCTGGCTCAGGGCTGGAAGTCACTTGGGCTGAAACAGCAGCTTGGCTAAAAATTTAAACATAAAACCAATTCGTCAAAAAACACGCACCAGAATTTCCAAGCTTATTCTTGCCTTCTTCTCTACACTAGTAAAAACAATGTTTCAGATTTTACACGTCAAAACAAACTGCATTTTCCTTTAAGTCTTTACTTACAAATACATTAGTTCCAATCCAAAACTGAATTTCACAATTTGCAGGACAAAACAGTGTAAAACAGCATATCTAGACAAAATAAATACAGACATTTTGATCCTACAACCACCACTCAATTAATACTTTCCTTTCATTACTGTAACTCAGTACTCCCTAAGATCATGCAGACTTACTATTGCATGTAGTACTGCCGTGCATACATTTGTTGCCACCAGATCATTTGTAAGGGACTGAAGGCAGGATACACAGAAAATCCAGCAGGAACACCTTGGCCTGGAAACTGGTTGCCTATATTGCTAAAAAAGGATTAAAAGAAAAATACTCTGTTTTAAATTGACACATTTATAAAATGCACTAATATTAAAAACAATTAAAGTAGCATTTTTTCCTCTTATTTGTCCCTTTACAATGATGGGCTGAAATGGCTGAAACAGGTAGGGAGATCATCCAACCCATTCCAGAAAAGCACTACATTTTCATCCAAGAAATTAATAAGTAAGTTCTTGCTACAGAAAGAGGATTTCTCTTTTTGTACTTCTGTCAGTAGCTGCATCTTCAACACAAAACCATGTTGAAAAATTTTCAAAATTGTGTATAACTGCTGACATTTTTTATACCCTTAAATGTGTTGCAGGAGCTGTAAAGGAAAAACTTAACTATCTTCTACAGTTTTCTTTCAGAAATTATACCTGAAATACCACTATGATGGAAGACATGAAGAAATGAACACGAAAAAAGACAACAAACTAATCTTTCAGATAAAGTTTCTGAAGATTGCAACTAAGAACATCATAAATTATTTGCTTCCCTCCCCCCCTCAATATTTTGAGCACAAGTGATTCTCCTTCCTGGGGGTTTTTAACTCTGGTTCACATGCAAGAGATACAAAGCTCCTCTACATAAGCCTTCGGTTTGGTTTTGTCTGCTTTTAAACTTCTTAGCCTCTCTTACCTCCTAGAGCATATAGCATGTGTTGGCAAGATTTCCAACTCTT